GAGCGGATCCCACTAATGTGACGGCCATGGTGGACTGGCCGGTTCCAAAGAATATAAGGACTTGCACAAGGAGCTTGGCCGCTCTAATTTTTTGCACAAATTTAGCGCAAATTATGCGGAAATGGCACGGCCATTGTCAAATCTACTTAAGATGGGTACGGAATGGTAATGGGACACCGAGCATCGTGAGGCTTTTGATGGGGTCAGAGATAGCCTCTTTTATGCACCAATACTGGCGTTGCCAGACCCCGATCGCTCTATCTTTGTCGTCTGTGACTCTTCGGACGTTGCCAGCGGCTGTGCACTGCTACAAGCAGACGCCGAGGTGCGAGATCGGGCAATCGCGTCCGAATCTCGCCAAGGAGAAGAACTTCCCAGTTCACGACAGGAAATACTTGCAAAGTAGTATGCACTTGTCAAGTTCAGGGTTCATGTGCCAAGCCGTTCGTGATTGACACAGATCATGCATTACTACCCACAGCAACTCAGTCGCCTCACCTCTCACAGAGAATGGCCATGTGGCTTTCTTTCTTCGCAGAATCTAAACTCGAGGTGAAGTATAAACATGGAAAGTAGAATGTTTTGGCTGATGCGTTGTCACACAGATCAGATTATGAGCTTGCTCATGTCAAGAAGCCGACGTCGACTGTGACGGATTTGATCCGCACCGCGTACGCGGGTGATAAAATGATATGTGCGAAGCGCAGCTACAGGCTCTCGGGAGTAAGGACTTCGAAAACTCGGACAAGAGGTCGTCGTCGCGACTGTGTACACTGTTGCACTGATATTTATTAATACTGGATTGCTGTAGTATAGCATCGATTCGACGGATACGCCACGAATTGTGGTTTCTCACGATGAGGTTTTGAAGTTCAGTATCCTCTATGACACCACATAGGCGGTCATCTCGGTCGTGAAAAGACCTACAGCTCTGTGGGGCGCCGCTACTAGTGGACCAATCTGTACAAATGGATGAGGCCCTATGTGCGCACGTGTGAGACGTGTCAAAGAGTGAAGCCCCTTCAACTGCGGCAGCGCCACTAGCCAGTTTGCCGGTACCCTCCGGGTGCTGGCAGACCATGAGTAAAATTTGTGTCTGACCTGCCGAAGCACTCGGCGGGCAACACGGATTTCGTGGTCTTCGTTGACCGCTTGAGCAAAATGGTTAATCTCGCGGCGGTACTGGACACCATTGATGGTGTCGGTACAACGACGCTGTTTGTGGATCGTGTCTTTTGACAACATGAATTCCCGAAGTCGATTGTTTTTGACAGAGACCCAAGCTTCACTGGGAAGTTTTGGTCGACGATCGTCAAGGTGTGGGCACCAAGCTAGATATGTCAACAGCGGACCATCCGTAGATCGATGGTTGAAGTGAGCGCGTGAGTCGCTTCGTCGAGGACGTCTTTTGCCGAGTCTGCACCGAGACTCCGACGCTTTGAGCGCCATGCTGCCACTCGTAGCGTTTGCTCTGATCAACGCAGTGCATTCGTCTACAAGCTAAATGCCGTTCTTCATGAAGGGGCTCATTCATCCTCGCGTGCCGCTGACGCCGCCATCCCATAGTTCGGGGATTGGTGGGGAGGAATAGCCGAGCGGCTAGCTGATGATTGCCCTCTCACTGTTCGTAAAGCAGTCGATGACTTCCATTCTACCAGATTGAGTGTCTAACGTTACGTTTGCGATGCGAAAGCCAAGACAAACAGAAGGATTATGCAGACGGAAAAGGAAGAAAAAATGTTAAAAGTTTTAAGCTCGAAGACCTGTGTGGGAAGAATTTAATGCTCAATACCTTCCCACACAAGCAACTTCTGCTGTTTGAATGCAAAGCTCCGTCCACTGTTTTTCGGACCTTTCAAGGTCGTGGCCAGGCTGGGCCATGCGTATACGCTCAGCCTTCCGAGAAGGATGAACACCCACCTGGTGTTTTATGTGGGCTTGCTTAAGCCCCATCAGGGTTCGGCGCAAGTGAACGCGGAAGCGTTGGCGTCGAAGCGGCGCCTACAGGCGCTCGAGCATTCAGAAGCTGGGCCAGCAGCTGGTTTTGAGCAGGGAGTGCAACAATTTCCGTTTCAAACGGAGCAAGCAGCTCCACCGTCGCACGAAGTAATGTATTTGTCTGCTCGACGGCTAGCAGCCGCTCCAATAGAGATCGATAATCTTCAATGTGAGTCAGTCGGTGCACAAAGTGCTTTAGGCTCCTCGAGGCCTTCCGCACAGCAGTAGACGGCCTTGAAAATATGCTTGGCAGAGTGCCGATATCGACGGACTTTATCCTCTATCGATCAAAGAGCGTCACGAGTCACAAAACGGCGATCGACCCAGTTGTCGTCGCCCGCCGCCGACTCTTCTCGGCGAAAATGGTGGTCTACTATCACGTGAAACGTCTTGTGAGTCGACGTCGTCACCAGGGGTTAAATCCAATATCTTGTGAAGTATTGGGATTACCCCGACTCTGAGAACTCGTAGGAGTTTCAACTGCCACTTTGGCTAGACTGCTCAGACGTTCTGGACGCTTATGATCAGAGGTATCATGACGTTCCGCGTCGTCGTACTCCACGCGCTTCTCGGTAATATTCAGCGAAGCCGAGGGTTATGGCTGAGCTAAAGCTATGGCCTTGAGCTGCTGCAGTCGCAGACTCCCCCTTGTTAGAGGCCTTAGAGCTCGCGGGAGCGTAATGAATCAACCCATTTGTCGCAGGGCGACAATCCAAAGAAGGTCGGCGACGCGCCTTGAGTGTGGTAAACTCAAACCAAAGATGGCGTTCCACGCGTGCGTCCACATACTTGTGGCTCAGCTGTAAGATGGTCAGCGAGGAAAGTTTCCGGTGCCGCTGCACACATCGCTTAAAGGATCTCTTCGTCATCTGCAGTTGTTTCGCCCGGGGCGAGCACCGCAGGATTCGTCCACATCGCGAGTACAGGAGTGCCCTCTCTATGAGCACGAGCTTGAATACTACCGGGATTTCGTAGAGACCAAGAAGCGAGCTCGGAGAGCTTTTTTTCGTCAAGCTCTGCTTGTGTTGTGACCAGGCCCCGACCACGTAGACGCCCAACTATCGAGTGATCACGTCGTTCGCTTCTGTAGCGGGATCCGCCGAGCGGAAGCCGTATTCCACACGAATGTCAATGACCGACCATGGATGCGCGCGCATGAGGGCCGCCCTGCGAACAGCATCAAGCTGTTGCTTCTGTGCCTCGTCAAAGTCGTTGGTAATGACACCACTTCCCCGGAAGTTGAGGGTTTGGGAAAAGGACACGGCGTCCGCAAGGTTCGAGCAGGGCTCACGTCGCGCCGCTGGGGTACCTCGCTTTCTTCTTCTTCCGATCATGGGAGAGAAGTATCCGACTTGCAGTCTACTTCCGCCAAATTCTCGATGAGGTAACCCATCGCTCGTGGCGGGCACGGTACGCGGTCGGGTGTTGACGTCGTGTCTATGTTGTCGGCGTGCGACCCTGTCGCAGACAATGCGCTGCGTGGTACTCGGTTACCGAGAGCTTAGGTTGCACTTCCCTTGAAGCTGCGGAAGTACTGATCGAAGATGCACCAATTGCAGGAGACGAAGAAGGGCTCAGCCCGCGGGCGTTTTTGGTTCCAGCGAGGCTGCTGGGTGTCTTCTGTGTTCTCGACACAGGGCTCATTCTCGACACAGAACTCGTTTGGTAGAGAGTTTGTGAAGATCCTGGTGGCGTTGAGGAGTCTTAGACACGCGAGTCTCGTTCGAGACGACAGTTGAATGTGAACTATCATCTTGGCAGGGGAGAGTGTAAAGGGGTTTCACGAGCCCTGATACGAAGGGTGTGCCTCACACAAAATGGTGTGGGTAACATGAAATGATGTGAGCACACAATGGTGCGGCTATACTTAAAATTGAAGCAGCCAGTAGTTATACATTTAATTATCTTACTATTTAATTGGGAAAGTTTTTAGATCGAGATAGGCGGCATTGCCCCGAGATATACAGTTCTCACTTTGAAAGGCAGAGTTAATTAGCCTTGAGTTATGGTTTTAGTTACACTCAGAGTATGCTGATTGTGATCCGCCACACTCGTACTGATGCTAAGTATAGAACGAATGTCACCGACCTTTACAAAGCTTCCTTTGAGCAAAAGAGCTACGGCACCTACGTTTTCTTTCTACTTTAAATGCATAGCTTCCTCGCATATCTGTCTCCTGCTTTCAATCTATATTGACGAAAGCAACAGAACCGACTATTTATTTTAGTTTTAACCATCATCACTATTGCAAAGTCTTATGACAGCATCTAGTCCGCTTAACTACGGCGCATGTATCTCATTCCAGAATATGTCGGCTCGAGTAAAAACAGACGAGGCTCGTCTATGCATTCGTTGGTGCAACGGGTATGGCGGTCTTACGGACATTGACGAGGGTCAGTTGTCGAAAGACTTGGAAGACGCGAATATGGCGAAGCTTTCAGAGACAACCAAATGCTAAGCATGCAAATTGGAGCTCTTCCAAGCCAGGACTAAGGCAGCTCGCGGATCAGTGAGACTGGCGCGGCTTCTGTGACACTTGATGAACGTGGATACCCCCAAGGCTACGCTCAGTTGAATCCCACACACTGTGGATCAAGAATCCCATGCACTTTGGCGATATTTACAAGCGATAAAAGACCAAGTTTACGTACTGGTGGCGGGTCCGGTTCATGTTGTAGTTAACATGGGTGCAACTCATTCAAGAGCGCTGAAGTTTGAACATACGCAAATTTGTCTCTAACTACTTTATTATATTGTTGCTAATATTACTGTTTGGAGCAAGATACATCAACGCTCAATGCCACTTACGTGTCATAATGGATATCATGCATATAATATTTAGGCCTACAGACGAAAAGTAACTGACAAAACTGGATGTCAAATAGCTCATGTTCCGCGCACCGAGTGGTGCATTTATCGCGTTTGAGGCAATTCTATCTTTTTTGCGACGTTGCAAATCGAAGCTTGACAACATGGTTAAGAAAGTGAATGACCAGTCACCGTATCAAACCTAGCGATAAGAAAGAAAATGACCGACAGGCTATCGCTGCTGAATTGCTGCATCAAGAAGTGACCGCGCACACTTCGCCGCTATTTTTTACTCCGCGACAACCTCAATAACAACAACAACCCTATCAGGGCGAATTAAAAGAACAGAGGTAGAAGAAAGAACTAATAATAACATGGTGTATTCTTTGATGCAATACAAGCGAGCAAAGGAAAGTACGGAAGCGCTACTACCAGCAAATACGCGATGCTCGCTTGTCGTATTAAGAGAGCCATAATGGTGAGTCTAGAGACCAAATTCAAGCTCGCAAACGTAAGTCTCAATGTATTAGCGGTGAAGTCAAACATAACATCAGGAATGGACTTTTTATCTCAAATACAAAATCAATTCCTATATAGTGGATGGCAACGGCTAAAAAGCAAATCTGTCGACCAATCATTACGTTGGGTTGCTAAGCAGTCACAAGTGCCGTAATAGCACTCGGATGCTGTAGACGATCTTCTTTATAACTCGACCGAAAGTACGAGCGTGAAAAGCTGGAAAGGAACTAAGGTACTGTTTTGCAAGGTGCCCTCTTTGAGTACCTGTCGAGTGTTCGCAATAACAAGTTTTGAAAGACGTTAGTTTCGCCGCTTTTGGCAGCGAAAGAACGAGGTAGCAAGTCGTTGACGTGATGTCGAGATGCTGCGGTGGCCGACATGCGCCGCAGCGCTGGAATGTGGGAGACGTGTAGCATCGGATCAAATAAGCTGGATGATGAGAGTGTTGATGGTAGCCGTAGCTAACTTGACGTTCCTTGCTCTAGAATCATTGACGTCGCAGATTTGAGCCCCATGTACATGAGCAGCACGATAGTTATCGATCGCAAAAGTCAAGTCAAGTCCCATTAATTTTGTTATGAGTATGCAACGTATACAATGGCTTCGTGTTGAACAAATGTCATCAAATTGTCGTTATTTTTTATTGTTTTTAATTGATGCATCTAGCTGCTTACAACATGTTGTAACTCGTCATCGACACCAGAAGCGTCGTTGCCTAGTTATCGAAAATCTGTTTAAGGCCTCAATCGACTTATCTGTAGTGTTCATTTTTTTATGACACTTGTACTTCGCTTTTTTCATGCTATCGCATTTGCAAGAGTGAGCTTGACAGTCGAAGAAAAATGCAGTATAATGAAACTCAACATTATGGCGAAGAGCTACATGAAATTAATATTCACCACAAACAAATAATAATTTACTGTATTGATTTAAGCACGTACGAAAATTTACTCAGCTTATGATCATAAATTGTGAATGTTTTATATTTGTCATTCGAGCTTGACGCTGACGTATGCTGAAGATACTCTACCATCTCGTCTCGTGTACATCCATTCCCGCAAAGGAGTTCGTCAAAGGATCTTAAAGTAAAACTAACATTCTTGCGCAACCGTTTGTCGATGAGACTTTGTAGGTATTTTGGCTAGCGATTGGAACGCAAAAAAACCGACACCATACACGTTCCCGACGCCGTTCTAGCCGGCATAAAGCTCGTAAGGGAGCATATATTTCCCAAAAAATTGTGGCTCAACTTCTTTTTTAAGAATTTTGGAACGTAACAGCAATACCGTATCAAGTTTAGTGGTCCCCATCTTGAGAGCTTCAAGTGTGGCATTCGGGACGATT